GGAAATCGACAAGCTACGATAGAATGTACTGTACTAGTACAGCACGGTACCGGCACGGTAATTCAACTTTCCCAATGAAAATTTCAACAGCACCCCATCTCTTTCGCATCCTAGCAGCATGGTAAAGTACTGTACAGTACTCGTAGACCCCCCGAGCGCGTGCATACCTCAATTTGCACTTCCAGAACATACTTTACTTCGCTGCCTTACTACTCGAGTACTGTACAGTACGAGTAACAATCTTACTCCGCCGTGCGCTAGGATCAAAAGTCCCCGGCTTACCACAATGGCCTGAATCTCACCAGGATGGGCGGATTACGAGAACCATACGACGTTAAAGCAAGGTGGTTGATGCGTCCCAATACCCTCCGCTATCTGTATCCCCAGCCACCGAGCCTCTACATTCCATCCGTACAAAGTATCGTACAGCCACCAATCATCCCTCGGGGATGCTCTGCGTCACGAGATTTCTGGGAGGCACACCGGCAGGACCCTGGATCCTCATTTGTGCACTTATTTAATTTATCATCCGCGTTATGCTTATTGGCTACGGTCGGGGCATCGCGGGCGGTTATTCGGTTAGTGGGCGCGAAATTGAGAACCGAAATCGAGTGAGACCTGGTGATGGCTTGGGACCGAACCTTGGGCGGTGCGCTTGGGAATGGAGATCCGATTGGACGACGGAGGGTGTTGAGCAAATTTATGTTTAATTCACTCCCGCTACCGGTAAGCGCTTTTACAGGTGGTCCCGCCTGCTCGGGCTGCGGCGGGGATTGTATGGGGTTGGTTAAGGGGGGGGAGTTAGATATGCTGGTGGGTTCCGGGTATGATCTGCGCCACTGACCAAGGGATGGAAACTATGATAGGCGCGTCAAGGGAGTTAGATGAGGTCGGTGAATGTAGTTACTTGTATACCTATCATATCTTCGCTTTTGAGTGGACCGCCGCCGAGGTTTCTGACTTTCCACAATGGTACTGGATACCGCGCTTCTAGCGACGTTTAAATGAAGCTTATGATACGGCAGTCTGAGTGGCTCGCACTGCGAAAAAAAAATATTTCAAAGGAAACAAGAAAAGTATTATAATGCCGTTGCGTAAAAGTTAAGATATACCGGGGGGCAACTTTTCTCCACTGTTTTTGGCCGAATCTGCGCTAATTCACTGCCACTGTTTTCCTAATATAATACATGTCTGATCGCCCTCACAGGTGGTGAGTCGGGCGATGTCACCTGAGGCATTACCCAGTGTCAAGAGTTTCCACTTACTCATCACCAGGCCAATCGAAACGACCCACCGCGTCTTGAGGGTTCCCGTATGGAAGAGGATTCAGTGAAGACATTGCGGTAGCAGCCGCGCGGAGGTTGAAAGTAATAATATTGTTTACTGATGAAATTTGGTATCACATTTTCAGGGTCATGCCCGTCCTCTCCTCATTTGCTGGCATGAGGGGGGTATCCTTCCGAATTGAAATTCCTATTGCCTTATCCACCAATTAGGCTGCCGTAGTGGCCCTGCCCAGTGTTACGGATCTAGTACCTAAAGTTCTTACGAAAGGTTGATATATGCAAACTGCTCTGTGAGCAACTTGGTGAAATAGCTAGTCCCCGGCGTGAAACCAGGACGAGCAAGCTAAAAAAGCTTGCTTGGGTGGGAAAGTGAGACGCTCCGGAGTGAGCAGGGTGAAGGCACAAGCAAGCAGCTACAATACTCCGAAAAGAGCACATCACCATTTGTCTCCAGCAAAACACCTCAAAATGCAACAAAAAAGAGAAACACAAGAGTTCAGCATCTGGGATTCCCACATGGTCACCTACTGTAGTACTAACCAGACAACGCAATGCTTGTTTACCGCAGAGCGGACGGTATGCGAAATTTTCATTACTCTATGGCCGAACACATCTGGCAATCTTGCATCTCAATTTTCTTGTGCTGGGTCACCGTGTATCACTCATTGTCACTCATATTTGGAGGATTTTAGGGAGGGGATTTTTTCCAAAACTGAAAAATCGGCATCACCCGGTATGCGGGAGGAATCGCCCTCTCCTATCAATATTGGCCGGAATTTTAATATCTGGCGAGGTGTACCCGCGCATATCAGCTGGGCCCCTCATTCCGGTATCGCACTTTCCTCTTCGCCTGCTTTGCCACAGTTGGCACCTTGTGGGACACAGGCCTTTCACGTTTTGCCAAAATTTAATGAATGGAGAAAGGAGTGAAAGGTCTATACCCTGGTTTGCAGTTGAATAGTTCCGGATCGCTGCACTGATGGCCCACGGAGATGCGCAACCTTCACGACTTCACCAGCACATTGTAAATAGGTCTGGACTATAAGCTTAGTATCGTAGATCGATTGTTATTCGGAAACACCTACAATCGCTCTCAGGGTGGCAAAACGTCCTGGAAATGCCATACGCCTTGCAGACATGGGGGAATTCCGATTTCGGAGCCTTCTGGAGTTGAGACGGCCAATTCTTGCAACACCCAGGGTAGGTACTAAGGTCCTGGTAATGGTGAAGGTATGCTAGGGTGTATTTTGTTGTATGGTATATTCCTCTTTTGACCCGAGGGCTTCTGGAGTGGGGATGGGATTTTAGGGAGCATGACACAGGAGAGTTGGCAGCCTAACCGCTGTGGGAAAATGATAGGCGAATTTTTGGGTTTCCGATTAAAATTGGAGGGTCGGAAAGAGTCTCACAGACTTTTATCTATGGTTGTCGTAATCCCGAAAGATATATTGCCTGTTGCCCGTTGTAAACATCGGATGGAGCAGGTAGATTCCTTGATCCGGGAACCGGCTACCGCAAGGTCCCGGTTGAGCGCGCCGTTCAGTGAGCTAATGGCAAACTTCAGGTCTACTTGCTGAACTATGGAAAGCAGAGTGACCCTAGGGAACGGTGTTTTTTGTAAAGGTGCTGGAGATTTCATGACTTCCTGGGTTTTATTTGCGTCATATCATACCATAGCTTTTATAACGAATACTTCACCACGTAGGGCTCGATACCCGGGTTAGGCTAGTATCCTCACCAGCCGCATGTTTCAATTTTACTGGAGATGCGATGCCTCCTCCTTCACAACAGCTTGAACCACTTCTTAAGGTGGAATGGACTAAAACTAAATGATGCTGGAGGCAATTGTTAAAAGGTGGGTTTCCGGAGCTACTAACTTGCGAATGCCGGTAGATGGGGTTCGGAGGCCTATCTTCACGTTGAGCCAATATATATCGCACGAACTTACCGGGTCTGCTCTACTTTCGGCCACGCCTTGCCCAAATTCTCTGACAAATCCTGTTCCCAAGCTCTGGTTCTACACTGCCCACCAAAGCCTCAGATAGGCTGGGTAGACCTGGGAGGAAATACGGTACCCATCAAAACTACTGCTCTATCCCTGAACTTTTCCCGCCTCCATTGCATTTTGCCATAAACCAGTCGGATGGTGTTCAAAAACAGGTATTTCGCCCTAGCGTAAAGAGGAAGCTTTAGAAGCCGAATACAAGGACTTCAGATGACTTTTGCATTGGGGGGGTCCGGGGGTAACGGGGGGTCACTGCATTCCGCGGTAAACTGCCGTCCAGGCTCCACGTGAAAACATATTGGCAAGTCTATATAGTACAGATTCAAATACTATCCCTCCAAAAAGAGTCAGAAAGAGTAGGGTTCAGTATCCGGGATTCCTACATGGCACCCCACTGTAGTACTAACCGGACGATAGGATACTTATCTACCGCGGAGCGGACGGGATGCGTAGCTTTCACCGTTTAATGGCCGAACACGGTAATTCCTGCAGCTATTGTCTTTTGCCCCATCCACTTGTTGTCTGCGAGGAAGTTCTTTCCAGGAGTGAAGGAGAGGAAGCAAAACCCTCGCTCTGGAAGGCAATAATGGTAAAAATTTTCTTGAAGCATAAACCTGCGCGCTCCTGATCAGGGTGGAGGCTCTTGTAGTCGAAGCCTCGGCCGTATACTGGGAACAGAAGAACTGCCAGCTCTTGGTAAAAACGCGGGGATCTCAAATACCCCACCTTCTAGACTTGAGAACACTCCGGAAAATCCGGGTCGAGAGGTGATTATCTTTTGGTCGGGCGCTCGTTGGAGCTGAAGGTGTGTTGAACCGTGTGGAGGTGCCCTTCAGAACCATGCAAATTACGACACAATCCTCATCTTACCTTCTGATCCATCGATATGGGCGCTAGTAGTTAACGCTTCAAAAATTATGTTGGTTTCATGGGACTTTTCTTTCCCCTCTCTCGGGTAAACGGAATATGCATGTACGACCTTCCGAAGAGAGAATGATTCCGCCGTTGTGATTTAATAAAACTAGATTGGGCAGGCATTTAACTTAGGATACGAGTATCAAAATGCGAGTACAGTACAAGTATCTTGCCTGAACTCACCCATAACAACCCTGTTCAAGATCAGACGGCTGACTAATAATATAATAGTATTACGTGTAAGGTGTCGGGCCACAAGTCACAGATGGCGCCCCCAAACTTGGTAGAATTACTGTTATTACCCAACTAAGCTGGAATAGCATAGAAAAAATCAGTGCTACAGCAACCCGTCCCGGGGTAAATCAGGGACGCCTCATAGGAGCTCTGAGCATCGGGGGATTGCCGGCGTGCTCTTTCCTCTTGGTGGAAGGAGGAAGTGGCTCTACAGGACTGTAGATTTTTTAAGGAGCCTTTCAAGAATAGATGTGTATATCATACCCCAATATAAGGGCTTTACCATTGGCCAGAGGGGTCTTAGGATTTCAAACAACTATAGGAGGCAGTCTGCCACCCGACCCGCGACCCACAGCACGGTTTCCGAGTGAGGCTGAGAGGGCTGACTGCGATGACTTATCCCAACGTATTTGCTATGATACTCGAGTACTGCGACATCCCCATGTTTCCCTTAGTGACATATTTCTTCCTCTAACTGTGAAATTGTCCGAAATCCGGAGATTGCAAAGGTCCGCCTCGATTCTAGGATTAGATATGAACTTATGCTCGGTAAAGCCATATACAGCAAACAGAATGCAATTAGGTGCCATCCCCGCTGCAATTAGGCTGGTTCACAAGCCCTCACTCACACAAATCTAGTCTCCTGATATCTGTGATATCATACCCCACCGAAAGCTGTGGGCTCGATAGAGGGGAGCAAAACCCTGGAACTATGTCCCCATCCCCACTCCAACTCGCGGAGGTATTTCTAGCAGATTTCCACGCTTTATCCTCCTGAGCTCCAGATCTGTAAATACGCGGCCTATTGGAACCCTTGGATAACGCCTTCCTCCCCAGTCCATAAACGAAAGGAAACTAGAAACAGCTCGCTAGAACCGTCTCGGTAAGATAGAAAAGTGAGGGAAATTACAATCGGCCGCAGCAAGCAATCTCTCCCCATCGTCAAACTCTTTCAGATATTCCCACTTCTTCTCAATCAAAACAGCCAAACCTCGGGATCACACACAATGTGGCGACCCTATCATCAAGGTAACTTATGGGAGGACCCCACCATGGAAAAACACTATGGGGAAGTCCTAGAAGTGCTGAAGAAAAGGTTGACGATAACCTTCGTCATATCGAACGAAAACTCGAGCACCGGCGGAGAAATCCCATGAACTGACGGCATGCCAGCAATCGGGCGCGGTTGGGTGCAAACTCTTGGATATTCCGCCCATGCAAGCGCGCTAGTATCGGATCGAGATGTATGATGTTGAGGTAGTGCCCGTTGTGCTTCGCGAAGAGCCCGGCGGTGGCGAAAACGAGTCTGTCAAGTATTAGCCCATTTTTGCTAATGCTGCTTCCACATTGGAAAAATGTGTCGAGGTGTTTTTGGTAGCGGAGAGTGAGGTTGTGAGTGTCTTCGTTTATCCTTCTGCTAAGATCTACCACCACTGGGTTGTCGTGCGGGAGGGCTACACCAGGTGCTAGCATACTCATAACCGAGTAGCCGATTCAGTTCGTCTTCACTGAAGACAGATGCTCTTGAATTGCCCACCCCAATGTCGATTCCCCGTCGGCCCTGGGTGCTCTCCTGGCGCTGGACTCAGGCCCCCGGTTGGCCATTGCTTCGCGGTAGGAGTCGGAGATCGTGTGGGAGTGAATGTCAATTATATATGAATGGTGTATCGTCGCGCCCCCTAAGGGTATAAATGACGAAAATAGCTGGGCGTAGTTATGTAGGTATATTGTGTTGGTGCGCCTTTTGTTTTTTGTGGGATACATTGAAGAAATAGATGGAGTTATATGGAGATTTTGATGCCGCCACGTTGATTGATAGTCAAATGAGTGAGGTTCTGCTCCCGTGCTTTGAACTTTGTGAGAAAGGGAGACCTGCTGGTAGTTGGCTTGTTTTTTTTTTAAATTTTTTCCCCAGGACCCGTGGTGCCTCTTGATCTAGTGATGTCAGGACTGATCCGTATTAGTTGATTAATTACTTGGCGCGGGTCACTACAATATCAGACAGAATTCCTACTACAACTCAGTGGACCCTACCGGTAGAGGTGGATTGCCAAATTAAGACCACCGCAACTTACAGCGCTGGGTTCACGAGTTGGTTTTACAACCTCAAGCGATTTGCCCTGATTCTCTCCACAACATAACCATTGAGGTCATTCTCAATTTTTCGTTCCTTTCCCCTCAGAGTTTACCCACGCGAGGCGCTGATTCTCACAAAACTCCATATGTGGGGGTATCATACAAGACATTAAAAGAATCATGCAGCATCACTCGTGATTACGGAAATACGATAACCCTCCGCTAAATATCACCATTCATTTCCCCCACTTTCGAAAACCAGCTCCCCCAGTATCCTTGCAAATCTCCGAGCAATCCCCCAATGCCCCGCCCTCCTCAGCATATCTGTTAGGGCGCATAGATTTGCCTTCCCGATGACCCCGCGCCCGCTACCCACTGCTCCAAGTAGTTTATCAGTATCCACACCCAACATTTCCATCTCATCCCATTCCCCGTGGATGTTTCTCCCATCATCGACCTGCGGCGCGAACCTTGTCCAGCAGTACCAGACCACTCCTGTGTGAAACAGTGCGCGGGGCACATGGATGGCTGGCTCGGCATCTAATGGCGTGTTCGCCAATTGTTTTTGCAAGAGGGTTCCATGAATCACGGCACGTTTTGCCGATAGGGTTGATGCCCATTTCACCGCGTATGCTACTTCTTCTTGAGCTGGTGAAGGGGGATTATTGACGTCACGTCCAATAGCTAGCTCTAACCTATTAATATCGACGAGCAAGTAAAGGAATACCGCATGCCATAAGGCCATAAGTGAGAATGTACAAGGTTGTGGCCCATTAGGAGAGAGTTTTAGTGCGTTTTGGTAATAGCGGTGCCATTGCATCAACGCTGCGCTCAGCGAGGAGAAAGTCTCTGGCGAGCGAAGGTTCCCAAGCGATTGAGCATCACAGGCTGCCGCGTTGATGCTCAAGAGCGATATGTACAGTGTATACATACATGTGTAGTCGGCTGTTACGACGGGTGGCACAGATACGGTCATCGGACACGGGCTTGCAACGGGCCACGATGGAAATATCCTATCAGAAAAATCTTTGAAAGTCTTTATGGGGGCTGAAGCAACAGCGTTAGGATCCTGCGCGAGATAATGAGCTGCCCATGTGCTAGCCGTGGGGGCTTCGAAAAGTTCGGTAGAACAAGCGAGCGGGAGTATGTTGGCATGGTGGCGGAGAGCCGGTTCGTGATGGAACATGCTTGCCAACTCAACATCGTGAATATACAATCCGAGTACCGTCCTGTAAAACGTGAGTGATTTGCACTTGAACTTCCGGGAAGATACTACCTCTTCGCCTCCTCTACCTTCACCCATTGATGCCAAACCTTCTCTAGGGCCTCGCCAGATAGTCCAGAGGGGGAGGGTGTCGTCTTGTTTCGTTGGAACATCCCTGCTCTCCGTGCCCACTATATTCGGTAAGCGTAAAGGCTATTAAATCAACGATCGCTGCAAGAAAAAAACGTACCGAGATAACGGTTCCGTGGAAAGCACTGATAATCGCGAGATGGCTGGGGGACTACGCGTGTCAGAATCATCAAATCGCATGGGTAGTGGAAAACTCACTCCTGAGAGCAGACCGTATGTCTGCCCGATAAGTGAAGATTGTATCAAGGCCAATTCTTCCCCAGCCCCTCGTACGAGCCTTTTTTCCCACTACAAAAAGGTCAGTGATGAAAGATATTTGTCGAAATGGGAGTGGAACATACTGATGCAAGAATAACCTTATTAACCCTTTCAAAGATCCTTTCACCCTGCTTCCGTGCACTCGCAGACCCAATAAATAAACTCCCAAGAGTACATATCGTGAGCAGCAAAAAAGAATTCTCGGGTGTCGGCTTGAAGGTGGCGCGGTGCAAAATCGGCAGAAGAATACTACACTTTGTAAAATACATTTGCACGCAGAGGTTCTATCACGAATTAACTCTCCAGTCAACGAAAATTCGGCGAGAATTATACCAGAAAGTCTACAGAGGGGAGTGGCTCCTCCGCCCATTTCGGCTTCATCTGATTCGACAGTCTCCGCCGATATTGCTCGTCAAAAACACCCGAATTCTCATCTCCGGCGTCCACCATTTCACGATCGGGAGACATCAACGAGGCGCTCCCGGGCCTCGACGGTTCATCATTCTCTTCCGATGGACCCATAGACGTAAACCACAATTTTGCTACGTTCGTCCTTGGGGGCTTGTACTCGACGGCAATTTGACTCTGATTTTCCTGCAAAGAAGCTGTTATAGTTGGTGGAGGTAAAACAGATGAGACAGTATCGTCATCCACATAGATGTTAGCATTGACATCGGAAAAGCCAGGAATAATCGAGGCGTTTAATGCTCCGAAATCAAAGCCCTGTCCGATCAGCCAGGAAGGTTCGGCAAACAAAGCTTGTGCCCATTGATCTCCTGAGCCGAAACCGGAGTTTACGGTGGAAACAAGATTAATTTGCATCCCGTCCGCATCAGTGACGAAGGGTGTGGAATTGGGGTGGTGGGGGCTAGCATCATCTAGCGATGGGTCAACGAAGGAGGGAGATGTATGAAGTCCGGGTAGAGTGCCTTGCGGGATGTTTTGTGGAGAGATCTCTAGAGTCGGATCTACGGATTGCATGGACATGGGATCATGGCGCCTAGCGGGATCGGACAGCAGCCCACCCGGAGAATCAAAGTTCCCGGTCCCGCCGCCGCCATGATCGCCAGCCCCACCACCACTGTGTCCATCGTAGCTACCAGTATTCTCGTGAAAGTTTGGAGAAATGGATGGTGAGTAGAAGTTTGCAGTAGTAGCGGACGTTGAAACTGGAGAAGGCTCTTCTCCCTTGGCCCCTTCGATATCTCCCGTAGTTAAATTAACGGAGGAGTGAAGTCCACTTCCTCCCCCTCCGTTGTGCGATTTCGAGTGTCGAAGCAGAGTATCACTTGAAGGGTCAATCAGTAAATGCCAAGTCCGACAACAACGGGATAAGCGGTGCAGCGCAGGGAGGAACAAACAAAGCTGGGAGACAAACTTTCTTGTGTACTTTTTTCCACACGTCTGACACTGGAAAGGGCGATCCTTTGTGTGTGATCGCTCATGACGCTCGAGATGTTCTGTTTTTGAGAAGAGTTTGCCGCAGTAATTGCATTTCCTCTCTTTAGCGACGCGGGGGCCTGTCCGCCTCATTCTTCCTCACTCTCGCAAATAATTGACTTACCGATCCCTTTCTTGGCTATCTCTTCCCCCTTTCCTTTGTGGCGGGGAAGAAAATATCAACAATATTCTGCAGCGTTTTTCGAGATTCCGTTGATTTATTTTTTGTCGGTCGAGAAAGTGGCGGGACTTAGCCTAGGTCTAGTAGAAGCTAGTGAGGTGTGTAGAAGGTAGACTGAGGCTTCCCCACATCTCGACCTCTCTACATTCCTTTTACAATGCCTTTTTCTCCTTCTTGCTTTGCCGGTAAAGATAGGGAAGCTCGGGCTCTGGAGCAAGGCTCAAAGGTGAACAAAGAGTGGATCAAAGGAAAGGAAAAGTGGGTGTCCTTCCTAACCCTGAGGTTTACCGGTATGATAGTCCCCCTCACTGGACCCCCTCAGTTCACCCACCAGTTGCTTCGATAGAAGCCAGAAACTCACGCGGATATACTCTGTACCGGACCAGATCGAGAAGCATCCCGTGCGAGATGACCTTCCAGGTGAATTCAGCGTGCAAGAATGGTCAACCCAGAGTATAATTATTTAAGCGATATCACGTAGAGTCAGAACAGCCGGGGAAGGATTACCGGTATTTGGTGAGGGGTTGGCCTAAAGGGTATAAAACGACCAAGTAATCAGCTTGAATTTCTTCATTTATTTTTTTTAAAATCAGAGGAAACGAGGGAGGAAAGCACATCCGGTCCATATCCTTTAATGGCGGATGACGGTTACCAGCGTTGCCCTTTCGCAAGGAATTCCTTGAAAGAGCGTCTCGGGGTGTCGGGGCAGACTGTAGCGCCGCGACGAGCACTGTACCTGTGACAAAGGTGGGCGATGGTGTAACAACGATGCAATTGATGGACCCGGGAGAGAGAAATGTGCCCTGTATTATGTTTCTCATGTGAATCTCGTTGGATGAGAGGATTAAGAATGTCGGATTTGTCAGGGAACTATTGATACGGCATGCGGTTCGGCCTCGTATTCCAAAAGAGTAGGAATCTCAACAACTCACATCGCTGCAGTACCGTAGCTCACGGCAAGGCGAGAACACGGTGATGCAGGAACACCCACAGAATTCTTATAGGATACGGTAGGGTTTCTTTGTCGTGGAATAACTGTGCAAGTACGAGTATAGTACACAAATGCACTTCCAAATGCACAGATAGATCAGTAAGCAAAGTCATAGTGAATCACTCGTCTTGGCATTGGATCTGAGTTCCAGCTTAACCTTGATTCATTAGGGGCAATATGGTAGGGGGGTACCGGTGCGATACTAAGAGGTGGAGCAGGGAAGGACATCTGGTAGAGTATGATGCCGGTACTGTGCCTGTATGCTGTGCCATACTCTGTCAATTTTCTGCGCGGATGCTGCAGTGAATAATGATCTTTGGAGTAAAACACGGAATGAGGTAGCACAACAGTAAAAATGCAGCCTTTGGTTCCCAGTCGTTAACTGGACACCGTACCACCGGTAAATACGAAAGACTCGCCAAAAATTTCGAGGGCCGCCACAAATACGACAATTTAGAGTGCAACAAGCCAAAAAAGACACTTTCCCCCAAATTCCTCCACCAAGGCAAGTCAGACACATCATTCATCCCTTAAAACCCCTCCAATCACCCCCGCAGCTTCTATAAACCGTCTCGCCCCTCACATGCGGCGAAGACAAACACATCTCGTCCACCAGTGAGCTACTTGCACTCGTACCGTACCTCTTGCCTGCATTTTCTCCCTGCGGTCTATAACAGTTGTAATACGAGTAGTATAGCGGCTCCCACCAAGTCGGGACGCTCTCACTGTCGTTACACACCTTCACTTCCTCCATTGAAACAATCTCAATCCCTTTATCTCCCACCGAATCCCTTGGAATAGCACGGCATGCAGTTGGGTCAGGGAAGGAGGTGTTATGAATAATAAAGGTCGCCTCCCCAGCGAGCACTTTTCCGGGGGAAGCAAGTCCTGCAAGGCCCTTGATCGTCAATAGAATCAGGTACCGCGACTCTTTGAAATAACCATTTCTTGCCCATTCGGAATACCGCGTCAATATACTCGTACCGCCTCCTCCGGCACTCACTGCTAAAGGAGCGCTGCAGGCCTATGGGGTACAGCTGCCGCCGCCCAACAATGGCGGGAAGGGCAATTTGACAATGCCCTCGGCTCGGGGCCCCAATTCCAGCTGATGCGTCCATGCTGGCCACACCCCTACCGATGAGAAATAAACGCCCAGACGAAACCTTGATCTTGCTCGGCTCGCTGTATCGTCGCAGAGATTTCTATCTTGAATTGCGGCTACGTTTCGAGCTACTATTTTCACTCCAAGTACCGGCGCTCGAATACTCGAGTACCGGTGGAGTTTCATTGTTGAACTCCGAAACCGAGGGGGCAAGCGATGTTTAAGCGCTAGGCGAGGAAGGATGCGTCACGAAAGCCGGAAGCGATGCCTCGGCTACCGACTGTAGGATCATTAGTAATAATGGAAGGAGTGGGTTGCGGAATCTGATGTGTGGGTATAGCAGTCAATGATTGACTCGCGCAGCGATGGAAAGAAAACCAAAGGACTGTGTGGGAACTGTCACAGGATGTGGACAAGAGTGCGAGGTAAGGAAAAACAACTTCGTTTGTTTGTTTCTAAACTAACGGTAAAGACAGGTGTATAAGTAAAACATAAACAATGTATCCTGACCGTTCCATGAACTGCCACACCTATCCGCATCTCTCCAAGCATGCTACCCTTTCCTCAACACACTTCTGTGATAACAAAGGAAAGACATGTCTGGGGAATCTCCTGTCAACCTCCGAACCTCCACACTAATCCACTGAACCTCTGAACTCTCCGCCAGACTCCCGAAACCTCCACGATCTATCCCAATCAATCCAATCAACATCCATCTAGAACCTTCAACACGGAATTAGACGGTGGGAAAACATGATATGCATCTCCGCACAATAAATCTTCTCACTAAGCACTTATTATAACTCGTGGCAGCAGGCTAAATGGCCATGGTCGGGGGGCTTTGATGCCGACCTAAGGAAGACAGACACCATCACTAAGTCTAGGGGCATGCTAACTACGTTCGTTAAAAATAGAAATATATGGTTCCTGCCACTATGAGTATCTCTTTCCACCATGTTATAAATGGCCTACATCTTCCCCAAGGTTTCCCATTCTGCCGTTTTTACTCCATCTTCCCCTTCCTTGACAGCGAATTCAAAGTGCCAAAGCCCGTCTTTACTAGGCCCGAATTGTCCACAAACTGAGGGACCACCAGGATTGTAGATGAACCTGAAATATAGAAATGAAAGCGCTGTGAACCCCCCGTAGACGGAATCCCAATTTCCGAAGTTGGAAACCTGGTCATGTTTCTGGTGTAGGAAGGAGGATGCACCAATTCAGCGCAATCTAGACGGCATTTTAAATACCTAAACCTTTAGTGACACTCTATTAATTACTTGACAGAAAAGCCCAAGAGAATGATGCTATGCTTGTCCGAAGACTCAAGTTTGGCGCCCTTCTCCTCCAAATTACATTTCGTACAGTACTTGCACATCTTCCTGGTGGGCCCAGTTTTGCGATTTGCTCTAACTACTCGGGTGGAATTTATCCTCCTGCCTGTGCTCCCATCCATCCCGAATATAGGTTGCAATAACTCCACTGCATCTCCTCAATACTGACAAGTCTAAACCCACCCTTAATCTTAGCCTTCGTGGACTGTTTAACGAATCTCCTTTAACAACAACCTTCCAACAGTAGTTGCTCGGGGCATAAAAACCCAACATTTCCTGACCTGCCTTCAATCTATAAGCATGATTTAACTGTAAGTCGCATTCCTTTCTGGAACACAGGGGGAGGGGGGGGGGGGAATAGTACTTGCAGTATCAAGGCTAAACTTCAAAAAGGAACAGATAAACCGGTTTTCTCTAGTATCAAATTGAAGTACCCCATTCCCCCTCGAATTCCCCTCAGCACCTCCTTGCAAAGCCCCACTCCCTGTAGTAAGCTGATCCCCTCTTCGCCCGGGGCAATCTCTCATAGATCAGTAACTGTTGTTATCTAGTTATAATATCCAGCTCGAGGGTGACTGTGCGAGGTGGGGGAGCAGAACGGGAAAGTATAGGGGATAGCATGAAGCCAATAGCCCAGCACTAGTGATAATGATATCGCAGGTCTCCATATCCGTTCCGGCCATTATTATGGACTGAATAGTCTGTGGAGGGGCGGATGCAGATTGGCAGGGTGGGGGAAAGCGATAGATATACATGGAGCAACTATTACAAAAGCTCATTACGAGGGGGATCTATAAATATAAGGCGCAGCAAAATCCTGCTCAACTTTTTCTTTGTTTCTGCAGGCAAAGTTTTGACGTATCCCTATGGTCTAGCTCTGATAAACAACCTAACACTCCACTTCCCTTCCTGCCAATTGTTGGTTTTACCTGCTGTACTGTACTTGTCTCTCATACCGTGATGTATCGAGACCTCGGGATTACTTGCGTACATTTATCAATTGAAGCACGGGATGGTCTCTGATTTAAATTTACCCTGTGCGTTGGTTATTCCCCTCACAGTCTACTTGACCATTCGTAAAGCATTCGGATGCCTTGGCGTCAATATCCTATGTTTAGGTGTCGGGTGGTATACCTTCGCGCCAAGGCATCCAAATACTTTATGAATTGTCAAGTGGTCGCAGATTCCAGGGATATCCGGACCCAAGGCTCTGTTATTTCGGCGGATGTAAGATCATAAGGTTCCGGATACTTATCTAATTTGCTACTACCCTCCGCTACCCACTCCAGGTACTCGAGTTTGGTGCCGGTACCTGTGGATGAACAATAGGACCCTTGGTGATTAATTCCCTGGATATGTGCTCAGTGCATGTTACTGCAGTAGTTTTAGTTGGAGTTGCACAATATTTTGGGATCAAGGTAGATGGCCCCGGCATCGGGCAGGCAGGGACCGGCGATGGCATTCTCGAGTGATAAGATATGAGGGTGTGCAAGGGTTAAAAAAACACCCCTGTGGATCTTATCAGCTTCTCTGCTTCAGTTGAGGGTTAATGTATCATAAGGGAGAATGTTTGTTGGAGTCATACTGATGATTGCTCTTCGAGCTCAGACAGAATGTGCTCGATTACTTGTTGCAACACCGTACCGTGCGTCCTGGGTTATCAAGCCATAAGTTATTGCATCTAGTTAGCTCATCCGTGACCCCATTCCAGAGTACAGCATCTTATGTGGTAAAACAATCACACAATGTTGTTCATTGGAG